AGTCGATACCTTCATGTTTCTTTCCAAGTGTTTTTTTCACATAAATTTGCTTCAGACTAGTAGTAAATGGAAGGTGATATTTAGATTACATTACAGTAATTGGTAACAAATCTGTTGGATTCCCTTCGGGGATGAACAGCACACAGACAAATCTTGAGAAAATACAGGACTACTGTTATTCAGTGGGATTATTCATGAAACATATTCTAGGTGTCTTTTCAAGGAAATATTTAATCCTCAAAATAGTATTCTATTTTTATCTAAATTTATCTGAATTTATCCATATTTATCTGATTGATAATCTTATGTCACAGGCTTACCCAGGTAGGGTGCTTGTTTAATTGCTTGATTATTTTTTAACAACTGTATGCAATTTAAGTGTGTCCTATCATAATATGCAAATATCTGCTAAGGGATAGTGAAAAGTTCATGGAATTTAGTCTATAAGAGAGAAGGCTCAGAACCAACTTGATTTTTAATAACCTGCATAGGAAGAAGTGGTTTAGAATTTCATTCTGTGATTCAAGGATATCTGTGTACTGTTTCCAAGGGGGTCACAGAAAAATCAGGATAAGCAAGGTTAGCTCCTATATACTTGGACTTTTTCTGCAGGCGTTTTAATCTCCCCGGGAAATTTTTTAGGATTCCAGAAATTGAGAGAGGCTGAAGGCTACTGACTAGCTATTGAATGGGCTGGGAGCTAAAGTCAGCTAATAGCAAACTGGAAATAAATTGCAAAGTTTTGGTTTGCTTGAAATAGTAAGAGTAATTAGATGTTGTGGGTGCCCCATCCCTGCAGATGTTCAAGGCCAGGCTGGATGGGGCTTTGAGCAACCTGGTCTAGTGGAAGGTGTTCAAAATTAGATCATCTTAATCAAAATTAGATGATCTTTAAGGTCCCTTCCAGTCCAAGCCATTCTGTGATTCCATGATTCTATGTTGAGTTGGCAGATTGTCCATATTTGCTTTATATAATCTTTCTGAAGGATGTGCTTTAATTCACTGCAACTTGCTGCTTTGCTTGAGGAAAATTCCCCTGCCTTTCCTGTGTAGGAGGCAATATTAGATTATCAAAGTAGCTTATGCTGGCCTTAAAAGCAATTAATCCATGCTCAGCTCATTTTTATCATAGTCTTTGAGCAAGTTACATACCACTCCTGGGGTGTGGCAGCGGAGCAAATAAGATGATTTGCTCTATTTCCAGAGACCTGACTTGGCACTTTCCTCCAGATTTAGGCTTCAGGCTGTCTCCATTTGACCCAGCTGTTAGCAAGTGCCAGGTTTTGGAGCTTCAGACTCAAGTGTCCAATTCTGATACAAATCTTATCACTATTTTTCCCGTCATTTGTCATAAACAGTGTTGAGCCCCTCTAAGTCTGATGGGCCATCTGACATTTTTGGTGTGGTTGTCTGTCTGACTGTAGTCATCTCAGAATTATGCCTATTTCATAATGAGAAGACTTATGAAATGCTGATATTTTTGTTGGCAAAATGCAAAAATATCAAATTTAAAACAACTGAAATGCCCAAGCATTTTAACATGTTTCTTTAATTAAAATATTTTCAAAAGAAATTATTTCTGAAGAAAAAAATATAGATCAAGACATTATATGAAGAAACAAAATGAAAGACACCCTATTTTTATCTCACTGATAAAGCATGAAAAACTGTTACAGGAAAGATTATAAAACTCCAGTAAGAGTTCCTGGAAATTTGTAGCTGTGGCAAGCATCTTATGTCACTGATTTTTTAGATATATGTGATGTGTTTACAACAAATAAAATTAAGATTAATGCAGATGTCAAAAAAAAAAAACAACAACAACAACAAAAAAAAAACACAAAAAACAGGGAGTAAAAAGGTTTAAGGGAAATAAAAATAGCAGTGTTAATTACACAATTCACTTTTAAATTACACCTAGGAAAATAATTTATGTATCTGGGAAAATATTTGAATTGTGGGATACCACAAAGTTTTATTAGTTTAATTAATTTGGCAAGATTATAAAACAGACAACTAAATGAAATCTATGAACTAGGTGGCAGAAATGCTTTATTCTTTGGTTCTAAAAAAGCAGGTGCTTGAGCTGAGGATATAGAAGATCTAATATCTAAAAAGCAATATCAGTTTTATGAGGTGACAATAGTATCTGGAAAAGCAGAAAAAATAACTTACCTTCTCAAAATATAAATCTGAGGGGATGCAGCCAAGATCAGGTTAATCAAAATATGATCAACCACCCTCCCTGGCAGTTACACTGTAAAGCTGAAACAAAGGTAAAAGCAGCAGCGCAATCTAAAATAATACAGCTCTTATGGAAGTGAACAAAAGTCTTATAAAACCAGGGTGTCAGAAGACCCTTCAAGCAAATAAAAAAATATTTTTTTTAGAAATTAAAATACTAATGACTCCTTACCCTTCAATGAAGAGCCTTCTGTACTCTTCAGTACCCTTCAATGAGGAGCAAAGTAATGAATAACTGACTGTAGTTGCTCTCACAAAATTTTACCCATAGTAGAGCTTCTCTGAACATACATTTCTGAAGAAACCCTAAACCCACTTGGATAATTTGTTTCTGGTACATTGGGCCAGTTAATTATGATGTACAATATTTGAGAAGAGAAAAGGTATAAGGCACTGACTCTGGATTCCCCCACGGCTTTAGAGTATGAGATGAAGTTATTCACTGCGGTGATGGACAGTTGAAATAAAAATTATATAGTAATGCTATATACATTATATATATAGCATATATAAATATATATAGTAATGCATATTTTCCAGAATGAGATTATTTACAGATATTTTCAAGTCAGGTGGGACCAGTACAGTCAGAAGAAGACATCTGTTTTGATCTTGTCAACAACAACAACAACAAAAATATATATATATATTTTTCTGCTGGTAATTTCTGCCTCAAACTACAGGTTTCTCTGGAGCAGCTCAGGACATATTTTCTGTTTCATATTTTCTGTTTCATATTTTCTGTTTCATATTTTCTTCTGTTTTCTAGTGAAGTTGGTACAGAGAAATGGGACAGTGTGAACATTGGCAATCCCTTTTCTATATCTGTGACTAACATGATATCCAAAGATGGCAACATGTCCTGCACTCTCTAGGGCTACGTTTGGTCCCCTTTGTCTTGTGTGGCTCTGGCCTTTGGTGTTTTGTTGGAAACAATGCTGAGAGCTTCAGCTTCCTTTAAGAATTTTCTTGGGAGTATTTACATTGGACTCCAGTATCCTGGCTGCTTAATTAGGAGGTATCACACTTTCTAGACTTAGTTGTAGGATGATGGTGTAAGTTGACACTAAGACCTCATGTAGGATGGATGTCAAACTAAAAAGTCTCTTCTGTGGTTCAGTTTCTTATCTTACTATTCTCCAGCCTCCCCAACCTATGTTTTATAATTATAGTTTCTCTCAAAGCAGTAAGAAAAATACATACATACACATAAAAATGTGAACCATTTTTATACCACACAAAGTTAGAAATTTTACACTTTCAGGAATTGCACTGTTATCTATGCTGTAAGTGCTTGTATTTTCTTTGATTTCCATTTTCAACATTTTTTTTTCTTCTGAAATTCCCACTGTTTTATAGGAGAAATATTTATGGGGCACAGCTGGGGAGTATGATTGCAAGTGTAGAAGAATGAGCAGACTTGCATCAGCGGGCCACTGTTGAAACCCACCCACAAGGGCTGGCAGCAGAGATTGCCTCCTAAGAAGTTGCATTGTTTTCCACTCAGTGAATATGCCACTAACTAATGGGAGAGAAATGTAGAGAATCACTCAGTTTCTCTGAGATTTATGAGCTTAGTTAATTGTTTTCTTTGCCTAATTTGTTGTAGGTGAATGGATAAAGTACTATTAATATTGAACTTTGAGCAAGAAGTTATGGCCAGAATAGTCAAAAAGTTACTATCTGCTTGGAATACCTCAATTTTGTACCAGAGAACAAAATCACATGGTCTTTTTAGAATGTGGATATACGTAACTCACTTCAGTTCAAAGTGGAAGTATGTAACACCACGCTTTGTGCCAATATATTATCTGTTCCTACAATAAACTTCCAAATAGCTGTTTCTATAAAATAGAGTGTTTATATTTTTGTACATTCTAGATACTCTGTCCAAGTTAAATATTTAAATGGACAACATGAAATTAGTGTTTATTACTTGGTCTCCAAAATAAAATATATTTGATACAATGGAAGCATTTGGGACATTTATAAATCTACCATCAACGTCTAAATATCAGTTACTTGACATAGTACCTAGTATTTACTACATCTTTATAAGCTCATTGGGAATGGGAGTCTTCCTTCACTGTTCCAAGTCTTTGGAGAACTTTGATATGTGGTGGTTTGTGGGCTGAAAAGCTGCCCAATGGTACTCCTGGTTGGTTGATTTGGAGACATGGCTTGGAATTAGCATCAATTAGATTCAGAAGCAAGTGTGGATACACAAAAATGTATGCAACGTATCAAGTGATGTGTTCCTAATACTCCTTCTTGCCTGATTCATATCAAGCAAATCAAGGTTTGTGTGGCTTTCCTTTTCTTCTTCAATGAGAGTTAGAGTCAGAGTAGTGAAGCTCTTGGTCCTGGGGAAAAAGGTTGTATTTGGAATAGACATCACGCTGAAAACTTTCCAGCCTAAACCTTTCATTAATTTCCCTGTGTCATCTTAACAAATTTAAACTCTGTAAAAATTATGCTGCAAGAAGTTCTCCCCACGTGTAATTTTTCCTCAAGTGAAGTGCATACCTTTCAAATTATAAACTTCCTACATGTCCTAGGAAAATCCTCACTGTATAAATAATTGAACTCATCTGCTGTGAACACAAGTATTCTTTCTCTAGTGGTCTAAAATATATGCCTAAATACACATCTTGTTCTTAGTGCTTTAAATAGTAATTACTCCCGTGAAGTCACTGGAAGCCCTTAAAAGGATTTGACGGTTTCCTCGCAATCTTTCAGTGAATGTAGTAGCTGGGCTGTGCAGTGCTACATCCACTGATAATTCAGCAGCTGAGGAACTCAGCAAAGCCTGCTCCAAACTTCTCAGCTGTTGACAGGCTTGACTTGCTGAGAACACTGGTTAAATATAGCACAAGCGAGCTGAGCTCAACAAAGTCATTGCTGTAACACTGTGTGAAGAGACCAGAAGAGGGGAAATACAATCTGAGAACTAAACTGCCAAAGCCTAACACCACCTAGCAACAGTTGAAAAAACTTTTAAACAAAAGTCTGGGTGAGACACAGACAGAGTATACCTCCTACTTCTCCTGCCTGGGATTTCTGCGAGAAGCAACTCAGTCCTCTGTTCTCTACCCTATTTCCTTCATTCCTTCAGCTGCTGGTAGACCTTGAAAAGTGGGAAAAGTTTCTCTCTTTGTGTTCTCCTGGGCTGGATCAGGCTACTGCTGTGGTAGTACTGTGGGACAAGCTACTGCGATCTGGCAGTGTAAAGGATCTATTCCTAAGTTCTTGCTGACAGGTAAGACTGAGCTAACCACTCTAATGAATTCTTTTTACAAGGGAGATTCTTTGCTACTGATTATTGTCTGCTCCCTTCTATGAACAATCTTCTGCATGATTTGCAAACTTCAGTAGATAAAAGCTGGGATAAATGTCTTGGATGTTTAATTTAATGCTTTCATCACAGAAAAACGTTGCTCAAATAACTTTTTCAGTTCTTAGAACAAGCACAATCAAGTAGCTAGTATTATTATTAAAAAAAAAAAAAGTGTGTGGATTTTGACATGTATCTTGCTTATATCTGCTCACATGCTGACAGAGGACAAACCAAGATTTAAGAATAGAATACATATCACCCCTTACCAGCGATAGTTTAGCAGCTATTAAAAAACAGTGACAGCCTGTATGATAAGTAAGAGGAAATAGCCGTTCAGTAACTGAATTCACTGCATAGTTTGTGACCTAGCATATTTGTACTTTTTGTGTCCTTAATAACTTTCAGTGCGCGGGCACACCTGGTACCTTTCGTACTACTCCAACAGCTCTTGGTTCTTCCTCTTGTACTTATTTATACCGATAGAATATTAATCTGATTGATTGTTTAGCTGCATAATCTGCATAACGCGACTTTCCTAAAAACTGACCTTATGTTTGTTATATCCAAGTGTGCTTGAGCTGGGTCATTTTTTATTTTTTTTAAGTGTTTGTTCCTTTCAGCAAAATTGATGAGAAATAAGTTCTCAGATCTTCTACTTTGATACCACAACAGAAGCCTGTGTATCTGTTTGAATAACCTATGGTTTTGTAATGGTCATATAATTTATGAGAGTAATTGCTCAGTATGATTTGCTTTGTCTAAATTAACAAAAGCTCTTTGGTCAATTGAAGAATGAGTTTCCCTAGGTCTTTTAAACCCATTTTCTTTAAACAAAATAAATTTGGTATCCATTAATTTTTAAAAGATGCACTGATTATGAATTCATCTGTAATATGAATTTAGTTATGAAAGCAACAATTTAAAAAATGCATTTAACACGTGCAAAAACCTTGTCTGCAGATTTATGTAGAATTGTCTCAGATGAAAAATATTTGTCCTAAGGAAGGGACTGATTGAGTCTATGTTGACTGTCTACACTGTTTGACACTCAGTCTGTGGACTCAGGGACTGCCTCAGGAAGCTGAGAAGGTCTTGCTTTAGCTAAATCATGCTAGGTTCACTGCTGCATACTATGTAAATTACATCAATACCACATCTTAGCAATGGTATGCTTGCAGATTGGATGAAACAAAACGCTCTGAAGCAACTTTGACCGGGTGGCTGAGAAAATAACTGCCTATGAAACAATAAGATAAATGAAGTGTTAGGATGGAGAAAAATTCTTAAAAGCAAAAGTAATATAGTTTGCTTTTTATTTCATAGCAAGTGGCATCCTACTTAAGCACTAAATAGGAATATTTTTGGTGGCCATGATTTAATGTGATAATGATTACTGTGGAATTACTACAGCAGTATGGTATCCCAAGTCTAAATCTCAAAAGGAAACTTTGCTATTACTTTTTAATGTAGACACATCCTGAGAAAGTTATTTTTTCATAAGAAAGCTGTACAATAAGAAATAAAGCTGAGACAAAGATTACTTATACAGTTTTTGTCATCTTGACATAAGAGTGAAAGTTACTGTTTCTTATTTTCATTGAATTCATTGGCAAATAAGAAAAACTGTGGAGAAATGTCAAACTTGACCCTTTGAATACATGTGAATGACAAAATATGGGAAAATATGCTAATTGCTGACTGCTTTTTGGTTTCAGTTGTTGCTCAGCCTGATATACAATTTAAAAATTTTAGTTTTCTTGTGGAATTTATGTTTAGCAAAGTTTTTAAATGCAAAGGGGAAATTTATTAACCTCAAAATTTTATCAAATGAAGAAACTTTGGAACAGTCTGATAGTGAATTCTAACACATGGAGTTGTGGTTTTACATACATCTGTCTTCCTCTCCATTTCAAAATGGAGAAGGAGGCTAAAATTACTCTTCTCAACAGGTGTCCACAAAGAGGCTCTGAGATTTTCCAATCAGATCTGTGGAATATGCAATGTGGCTATTCAACAGATGGTTTCATTTTTGAAGAATAGCCAATTCTACTAATGATTACAGTGAAACCAAGCTCAATTTTATATCAAATCAAAAAGTAATTTAGGTTTTGGCAATATTCTCCTTTGTAGAGATTTTCTTGGAAGACAAGCACACTCATTTATTTCCCCTCTTCTATATTATTTTGATTTTGTTTATATTCCCATAGCCGTGGAAAATGAATGATACCGTTCATGGTGCTAAAGACTGTGTATCCCTCCTAATCTGAATCCACTTCCAGACTCTGCCTGTGGCTCATTCTTCCACCTTCATTTTAGCAATATTATAATTTACGACCTCTTTTAGCCAATCTAGTCACAGTTAAAGTCATAATCTTAACTGAGTATCTTGTCATCACCCCCATCTTTCAATCTCTTTATAGAACGTCTGGTTCTTTTTAACACCAGATTTAACACAAGACTTGAAGTTCATCTTCAAAGCTCCTCACGGTTCTGCCCCTGCCTATATCTGCTGTGATTTACCCTTACTCCTCCCACTTGTATTTGGTGGACAATTAATCACAACTGTGGTGTTAACTGGTCCATCCTCTGTGCCACAGGTTTCAGTAAGCTTGAGACTGATCTAGTGAATAAATTCTCTATTGTGCCTCTCAGTGTAGCACCTGGTGCTACTGTCACATAGACTAAACTTCTCTACAAACCAAGCTAGGCTGACTGAGATAGGACTCCTGAAGTTGTGTTTCCTAGTGGCAGTTTGAAAATAAGCACAAGTATGTCAGAAAATCTCTACTTTTTCTAACATCTCCTGTTTTGGTCCTCTGGATCACAATTTTGCCAGTGTAGTCATTTCCATACTGAAATCTTTTTACTGATATATATGTATCAGTAAAACTCCTGCTGATAGGAATTCTGTTGGCACAAATATGTGTGTCAGAGTTGCACTGAAGCAGAGGCCAAGTGTATGCCACTGAATTCAAAGTAAGTTTTCCTTAAAGTTTAATAAGATCAGGTCTTAGTGTTCAATAATTAATAAACAAATTTCCAGTCCCCTCAAGAGCATTTGCCAAAAGACATCATCTATATTCCTGTCCATATTTTTTTTCTCAAGAGACATCTTACTTTTTCTCTCATTTCCTGTTTCTTCCCTTCCTTTCTCAAGGAGCTACTGTTGCAGTTTGCCATACTGTTGTAATACATAATCTGAATCTGGGGGAGGGATTTTGCCCTACTGCATATCTGAAATGCCATTTGGAGAAACAGTTATAATGTGTTTGAAGAAGCCAGATGAAACAAGACAAACTAGAAAGAACTCCATCTACTGATACTTCCTATTTCAACAAAAATATTTAGTATTTAAAACCTGAGATAAGAACTGAAATTGAGAAGAAGAAAAATGTGCATGTGACAAGATAATGTTATCTACTACATAGAAAAGTTTAAATGCTTCTTTGTAAGAAGCACAAGTGCCTGTACTTTTCGGTTTCACCATCACATTCTGGTGGCTTTCTTTTTAGCTTTTTCTCTCTTCTGTCAGTGTTTCCTGCTGAAGGTTGTTTCCTGATTTTATACATAATGCCAGCAAATTTCAGAGGTCACTTGTCATGTAAAACAGACAAGAGAAGTCAGAATTATCTAGGGCATGAAAGTTATTCTTGATACTGCATCTAATAATTAATATTTATTAACTTCTCTTTTTCTCACTTAGTAGCTAGTATTTGTACAAAGTTAGTGTTACTAGGAGAAAAAAAAATAATAAAAAGGCATTTATAGCACAGTCCTTTAATTATTCTTTGAGGTACTGGCATCCAAAGGACAGGAACAATTGTACCTGTTTCCTGGTGATGAGAGGCTATGAGAGTCTCTAATGTTGCAGTTTGTACGATACCTAATGTATTTGTGAAAGTCATGGCTCTAATGAATTACATAGTGTTTTTTTTTTTCTTTTTTTAATCCAAGATGGCTTTGCCCTATCACTCTCATTCTGCTTTGGCTGAACTATGAATCTTTTCTCCAAGTAAAGCATGCAAATGCTAGATACAAGGGTGATATGTAAAATTACATAGATTGTGATTGCCTCCAAAATGGTTTGCACACTTTGCAATTACAGAGAATGAAACGATTCCTACCATTAAAGGCATATATCCTAAAAGCACAATTATGTGTCATTTTGGAATTATTCTTCTAAAGATACACAGCTGTTAAAATACATGATATATCCAGGACTGTTTAGAGGGTGGTGTTATTGAGGTAATGAAGTAGTATTTCCACTTTTTTTCTTCCTTCCCAGTTAACAGAAAATCGCTGTATGTGGTATAATATAAATAAAATAAATAAATAAATAAAAAAGAATTCCAACATCCACTTCCTTAATTTTACAGCTCTACAAGAGCTGAAGCTTAATCATAAAAGTGCATACGTGTGTGCACGTGTGCATGCCTTTTGTGAGAGCAGAAATGTTTTTTGGCATTACAGAATGCATTGCTGAAGGAGTGGGACAAACACATGCGAAGTACAGGGAAATGGGCTGGAGCCTGTACTTTTTCCCTTAAATGGGCAACCCGTCTAGTTGCTGTTAGCTGACACAACCAAAGGGGTGTGTGAATCTAAAAGATTGCTGTACGATGTCCAAATAAGTTTCATTTCAGAGATGATAAAACTGCAATTAAAATCTTGATCATTTATTATGTGAACAGACTCATCCAGATAGAAAGCAATGGGGTTTCAGAAAAAAAGCAAACACCTCACTGGATTAGCAAAAAAATGTTTTGAGTTTGATTTATATACTTTAACAGCTCTTTAGTACAGTAAGGATTGCTTTTTTTGCTTTTCCTTTTTGGGGAAATGGTGTCAAAGTGTATAATGTTTTGTGATTTATGTTGTTCAAAAATTTGTTCCACTGCATGTGCAAAAGTAATATTTTTGGA